GGAAGGGAAGAAACACAGTGACTGTGCCTTAGAAATGGTCAGAGTGAGATCATGAGAATCTTCTCTTCTTCATCAAAGTTGCAAGAAAAGTTTAGAAGTAATGATGGTGACCCTGGGTCATCTTGAAATGAGTTTCCCTGACTGATTGGCTGTATCACACTTGTACATGTGTCCTTGGTCACTAAATAAGATGTTACTTATGTTTTAGTCAGAGTTTATTAAATCAGTGGTGACAGATGTGATATTTATTTGCATTTTATTCTTTCATCTAACCATATTCATATTATTTTATTTTTCATACAACAGATGTTTCTTTTATGTAATATGAAAATTGTAAAACACATTCACTGTTCCAGTTTACTAAATATTGTGTCTTGTTATTTATTATAAAACTAGGTTTTGTTGTTTCTAAAATCAAAATCTAAATGCCAGTTTTCTGAACCAAACTGAAAAATGGATAGTAATATTTTCCCTCATTCATTTACTCCATTCACATCATAAATATAAAGTATCAATCTGGCAGATCTTGGAAGCACTGTCAAGAAATACAGAAGAATAAAACACAGTTCCTTCTCTGCTGAAACTTTCAGGCTTACAAAGAAAGAAAAACACTGAAAGGCCACTTACATGAACTATTACACAGAGAAGTAAGGAATCATTAAGTACAAATGATGCAAGACAGGAAAATAATACTAGATGTCCTCTCTAAATTATCAGAACACAAAAGATCAGAAATATGATCTAGAATGTACAGCAAATGGCATGGGCAGGAGGTATCAAGTTATGATTTTTCATTGCATATCTCAAGGCATGGAAATGGATATGGTTATCCACAAATAGAGGGACAAGAGATGAGGACTTACACTTTGTCCTGTAGATCCTCAACATTTAAAGGAGAGTCAGAGAAGGCAGTCTGCAAGTGGCACTGAGGTAGAGATGCCAGTGCAGTGAGAAGGAGAAACAGGGAAGTGTTTCTCCTTCCCAGTGGAGAAATGCATGGAAGGAAGGTGGTGGTATCTTCAGGGGTGGTAAGATCTAAATTGTTCCAGTTTACCTGAGAACAGATGACAGTGGTGTCTTCAGCAGAATCTGTTATAGTGGAAACAATGGAGTAGAAACTGTTTGGGAGTAGAATGAAAAGGAAACATAAAAGGTGAAGTTAGAACACTGTGCACTGAAAATTATTTGGAAGCTTGTTTGTTGAGAAGAATGAATTCTCCTGGAGAAGAATGTGGCTTAATACCACCTGCAATTTGTTTTCATGCTTTTGCAATGTTTTCAACGAATCATGCTCAACAAGCAGGTGACATAGTAGTTTATCAGGGTTCTACTTAATACCACTTTGTAATAATCTTCCATGATAATTATTTCCTTAACAATTTCACTTACTTTTCAATCAAACATTAAGATTTCTTTGTGTAATTTAACTTATTAATGTCTTTATATTGGATATTTACACATTTATGATTTTGTAATTTCTAATCATTGACATACATATTTTCTGAAAATTATAAACATGTTGCCTTGATAGATGATGGGCTTTTTAAAAAAAAACTTTACCTGTGTACAAAGGACTAGACTGTTCCTTTTTTATTTGAATTATGGAATGTCAAGGTAAGGGAATCAATCTTTTCCATAATCATATACCTCTTTTGACCTGAAATATATTCAGTACCCTCTCTTGTAAATTTGTGTTTACATTATATTCTTATCCTTGATAAATTACTCCACAGGCTTCATCAGAGTCTGGAATAACTAAGACTGAGTTGCAAGGAAAAACTATTTTGTGCTTATTTGGGGATAGTGGTCCACATGTATTTCCAAGGAATCATCCACTATTTCCAGAAAAACAATGAGTTAACAACAGCTCCCAAGCCAGCAAGGTTTCAGAGGAGAAAGTGAAGTGCCCTTTTCCCTCATTAGGAATCCTCAAAGAAAAGTCAGTAAGTAAGGAAGAAAGAGACAGTCGTGACTCTCTCAAAGCAATTACATCATTTCCTAAGTCCAAAAAAGAAATCTCAACTCAGATTTTTGCACTAACAGAAAAATATCTGAAATCAAAATCATGAGATTATTTTTAAGTATGTTGTAATGATGCATTATGAGTTTGCAAAGTTTTAGAGAATAGAACATTGTTTGCTTTTTTAAATAATGTTTTGATTTATAATTCTATTTGTTTTAATTCTTAAGAGGTATTTGCAATTTAAAAATTTTGAAAGTTAGTTTTTATAGGAAAAATTCTTTATGACATTAAGTTTGAAGATATTTGTCAGATATTTGCAACAGATTTAGAAATCACCAGTAATTGGATTGTAATGCACATTTGTCTTTCCTGCATATACAAACTCAATGCAGGGACTCATAATCAGATGATTTCTTAGGTTAGGCCACCTCCAAATAATCTTTCAAGTACCTGGCACATCTACTTTTTGGCTTGCCATCTTCAACATGTAACTACAAAAGTGACTGTGGTACTTGAGACTATTCTTCTCAGTGGCAAAGGAGGAGAGAGCAATATGGTGAGTTACATGGGAGTGTATTTAGAGGCCAAGAGTGTAAAGGAAAAAATCACTGTCATCCATATTAAAATGGCCTGAATTTAATCTAATATGATACCTAGGTAAAGATGGTGAGGTAGGAAGTCTATTTGTGTGACTGACAGGAAGAAAGGACAAGTTCTTTGAATGAAAGCATTCTTCATTTTTTACCTATTTATAATGATGTTTAAGGAAGAAAATTAACCTTTTTTGCTGCAGACACACTGCTAAAAATATTCCATCCCAAAGTCTAAGTCCACAATTCAAATTCAAGTAAGATGTCATTTATTAAAGTTCACTGCATCATTGACTACTTTAAGGAAGAACTTAAGTTGGTGCCCAAATGCATAAAGTTAAAAATGGCCAAGAAGATGGGAATAATGTCTTTGACATTATAAATTTCAAGTTGTGTCTTATGATTATCCATTGGGCAAAATGATGAAATCCCTCTACATTACTACTTCCCTTCTTTCATTTTTGTCACATTCAGGCATTATATTGTTATCTTTGTCCTCAGTCATTGCAATACAAAAAGTGACAACTTTTGCTTTCTATGAATGTGAACATGAGAAAGAAAGCTGTATGCTGTATTGCCTGCTATACAGGAAAACTGTACACTCCATTAGCTTATTATCTATATTCAATTATTATCATTAGTTCACAGTTTTCTTTCCTTTTGCAATATTTGCCTAGAGCTTGAATCTTTTTGAGAAATTTGAACTCTAATGCAAAAAATTTTCTTTAAACATCAAAGAAATATTTTCTCAGTCTTGCATTCTTATTGGGGATGCTGTACCTCCCAATTAGTTTGAGGTATATGAACAAATCTTAGCTATTGCAAAGCTTAGTGGCTCTCCAAATTTGAACTCTAATAAAAATCTTTTTATTAGTGTTTATTTCTGTTTTGGGGTTTCCTTTTGTATCCTTAGAGAAGTATTGACATTGAATTCATGGAAGATGCAGAAAAAATATATGTAACATCTCAGCTACAAATCTATAGATAATATGTGACTGTGACTGATAGGACTGATGGATGAAGTCCTTCTCTTCATTACATGATTGATCACAGAATTGGTCTGCTATTTGCTATATTGTAAGCATTGTTTATGTTTGAACTTCAGTGTTTCCAAATGTGCTATGAGAGTTAAACACAAAATATTGTATTTTTTAATTTAGTAAAGGTATTCAACACATTAATAATTACATCAATTGATTTTGATATTTTCTAGGAGCTGGTGAACTTAAAAATTATTTTCTCATGTGAAGCAAAATTAAATGTTTTTATACTAAGAACAGAAGGTAGAATACTTTTATATTAAATATTTTGTGAGTTTTGAAAGATTTATGGATTTCTTTACAAATTTTAAATTATATAATAATGTAATTTATTCATTTACCTAAGTACACACATGCATTAAAAGTTACTGAATTACAAGTAAACTATAATTTATAAAAATCACAATTTCTAAGTAAATTAATTCCACTTAAAACAAAAATATATTAGCCAATGCAAGGATATTCAGAACACATGCTAATAAAAATGAAATAAAGGCTATGAAGAAATTTTAAAAATTAAGAGTGTAATGTACTTATATTTTATCAACACTAGAAAAAATATTTTATTTTATTATTTATTTATTTATTTATTTATTGAGGTGCTGGGGTTTGAACTCATTTTTTGTGATTTTTTTTATGTGTGTAAGATAGGGTCTTGAGAATTATTTGCCTTGGCTGGCTTCTAACTGAGATTGTCCTTATCACTGCCTCCTGAGGCACTAGGATTATATGCATGAGCTACCAGTGCCCAGCTACTTATTTTACTAATTTTTTGTCACCTAATTGCTGATTACTTGTGAAATACAGAGAGTGACTTTTTTCTTATTTTATACTATATTTGAAGATGTTCTAGGTATTACATTACTAGTGGAAATGAGAAATAATATTTTATATAATATCCTTTATACTGAGAATGCTTTAAGGCACTTTACAAAGTAAACATTTGTAGTGAATAAAAAAAGTATGTTAATAAAGCCAAATTAAATATTGATGGCTTTTAAATTTAACTTTCAACTTAAAATTTTTGTTGTCATTTTAAATATTTGCACTTTCCTTTTCATGTATAGAGGAAAGTATAGCTAGTGTACATAGTTTTCCATTTATCTGTGTTATTGAATTGTAATAAGGATTTCTACTAGGAAAAAAATATCTAAAAGACTCTGGCAGCATAAGGAGGGAGTGCAATGATGAAAGTAAAGTGATTGAGAACTGCTCATTTAAAACCAAGTAGTGAAAGCATAAAGGAAAGCAAGAAGAGAAGCAGAAAGTGAGGACAGAGCATTCAGAAAATGGAACCTCAAATGTTCCCTACTTAAGTCAAATGCACATGAAGGTCTTCAGAGACCAAGAGGCAAAGGTCCAGGATCACCCACCTCAGTCAGGCCAGCAGCATCTGCAACATTTCCAATGGCCTTGTCCTTTGCTTTACTGGTGGTCCTCGTTCTTAGCTACAGGTCAACCTTCTCTCTGGGCTGTGATCTGCCTCAGACTCATAGCCTGGGTAGCAGGAGGTCCTTGATACTCCTGGGACACATGAGGAGAATCTCTCCTTTCTCCTGCATGAAGGACAGAAATGACTTCGGATTCCCCCAGGAGGACTTTGATAGAAACCAGATCCAGAAGACTCAAGCCATCTCTGTCCTCCATGAGATGACCCAGCAGATCTACAACCTCTTCAGCACAAAAGACTCCTCTGCTGCTTGGGAGAAGACCCTTTTGCACAAATTCTGCTCTGACCTCTCTCAGCAGATGAAAGACCTGGAAGCCTGTCTGACACAGGAAGGAAGGGAGGAAGAGCCTCCCATGATGCATGAGGACTCCACCCTGGCTGTGAGGAAGTACTTCCACAGGATTACTCTCTACCTGGAAGAGAAGAAGTACAGCCCTTGTGCCTGGGAGATTGTCAGAGCAGAAATCATGAGATCCATCTTGTCATCAGCAAACTTTGAGGAAAGATTAAGGAGTGAGGAATGAGACCTAGTCCAACATATAAATGACTCTCAGTGACTAATACACTGCATCATCAACCTGTTCTGCCACTGCAAAGACTCATTTCTGTTACATTTGTAACATGACTTCCATAAGTATGTCAGATGTTTAAAGGAGTATTAGGAACATGTGTTCAACTCGCAGGACACTTTTTCCTTTCACCCATGCAGATATATCTATCCATCTATTTAATTATTTATTTAACTATTTATAAAATTTAAATTGTTTTATACATGTATTATGTGTACCTTTACATTGTGGTGAATACAATATGCTTTTGTATATAGTTAATTTCTTATTTTGCTTAGTTCATTGAAGTTTTGTTATAGACATTTCTCACTTGTGTTTATTCTTTAAACAAAATTTCTAAGACATTATGGAACTTTATTTTTTTTTTTAGTACTCAGGTTTGAACTCATGGCAACACGTTGAGCCACTCTACCAACCCTTGTTGTGTTGGGTGTTTTCAAGATAGGGTCTCACAAACCATTTGCCTGGGTTGGCTTCAAACCACAATCATCCTGATCTCTGCCTCCTGAGTAGCTAGGACTATAGGCATGAGCCACCAGTGCCCAGCAGAACTTATTTTAAAAAAGGAAAAGTAGGGTTGGGCTTGGGGCTCCAGAGATAGAGCACCTGCTTTGCAAGTGGGAAGCTCTTGAGTTATTAAAACCCAGGAAAAAAAAAGAAAGGTAGATTGTAATTACTTTCCAAATAAGAAATGACAAGTACCTTTTATTCCTAAAGAAATGGTGACAAGTAGTTCAAGCCCCAGAACCACTAGAACAAAAAATAGATAAATAAAATAAAATGAAAGAATTACAGACATACCAAGAAGTATAATTAACCATTAAGTAGCTTCAAACTGAATTATTCTCATATTTGCAAACAGATTCTGTTGCAATTACATGTTTTGTAAAGGGTAAACAGAGAATAGGTGTTGTTTCCCTTGTTCAAAGATTAGAAAAATTAGGTTTAAACAAGGTAAGTACTATAGAAGGAATACAGTTTGTAGAAACTCCTGGTTCTTAAACCTGAGTGTATATTAGTCCTACCTGGAATGATAGCTTAAAAAAACAACTAAATAAAAATGACTGACTCTGGGATAGAGGCATGGCTCAAGTGGCAGAGCATCCGCCTAGGGAGCAGGAGGTCCTGAGATCAATCCCCAGAATTTTTGCCAGAAAAAAAAATACACATTATCAAGCAAATCCAAGGCCCTGAGTCCAAATTCCAGTCCCACCAGGGGACAGGTAACAGTATAATTACATAAATAAACTTGCTTAGAAGAACCAGGGGATTCAGAGAAGGTGTGGACCAAACCCGCCCCCTACTTATGAAAATAGATGGCAGTGGCAACACATGGTAGAATTAATCAACAGAAATCATTTTTGAATAGTTGGAAATAAGAGAAGTTATTGATACTAAAATGAAGCAAACAGAATGGATTACATACAGAATGGGCTATTTTTTCTATGTATAATTTTCACTCTGCAATATGTTTTTTTTCTGAATAGATTTTGAGGAAATGTTATGCTAAAATTATGTAAATATATTCAACATTTTTTAAAATCACACCATATTTACTTTCAGCAATAACTTATCATCTTCTGAAATAATACTACTTTGAATATCATTCAAGTTTTACTAATTTGTTGTGCAGATATAGAAATTTAATACAAACCTATATCCTCATACCTCACTGCTGATGATATAAGGAGCCCTGGAATTATTGGATATAAGAAGTCAATTTAAATTATCTTCACACTGTCATATTACAAAAACTTCCAAATACATTTCATTCTCAGGTACAGATAAATCTGATAAGAATTCTTTCACATTATCCCTTGTAATATTTCTGGTTTGCTAATTATTACAATTTCATTTGGTTCCAGAAATAATCAAGATACCATGGACATAAAAGCTGATACATTTTCTTTACAAAATGAAAGTACAAAGCTGATCAGTGTATATCTTACCCAATGCTCAAAAAAAGTCAAAACCAGCCAAAAATATATGAATCATGGAAATATAAAAACCTGGTGAGGATTGTGCAATTCCACACCAAGTAGAGGGATATTTAATAATTTAAACAACATAATTTAATAATTATAACCAAAATTCACAACACAAAACCTAACAAGTATTTGTAACTCAGAATAAAGAGTTCTACATTGAAATTCCATTCTCCTTGGACATATGTGTTATGTGGAGCAAACCATTCCATCTTTCCAAATCTCAGTTTTCTCATAAATTAAATGGATTCAAAATATTTATTCAGTTGTCAATAGTAAATGAAAACATGCATTTTTGAGCACTTAGCATAGTATCCTTCATAGAATAATATTCAAACTATGGTAGGCCTTTTTCCAATTTTTCTTCACTGTGTAGAAGACTTATCATTTGTCTTCCTCTAAAATTCTAAGGGACTATTTCCAACTTCTCAGTGAGTGGCCTCCAAAAGAGTTGGTCTAAGAAAGGATAATTCTTTCTTCAATTGTAGACATGCTGAAAATTTATCACTCTTCATTTAAAGGAGTGTCCTATATATATTCAGTCAAGAAAAGGAGTCTGCTATAAACATCTGGAAATGGAAATAAACATCTGGGTGGAAATACAGAAGACCTATGATGTCAGAGAGAATGACCTTTGTCATTCTCCTCCTTCACCTTACCACCTATTCACTTGGAGCTTCCTTCTGTTCTATTGTGCAGAAGTTAAATTAAATGTCTGCATTTCATAGAATATTTACTGTAGAGCTTTCCTTAATTTCTATTTCATGTGATTTAATAATGGCCAACCTACCAGGAACAAAAAGCAGGATCCCGTGTGTGCACACTAAGGAAAACTGAAGAGCTTTGCTGGTGGTCACCTGTGTCAAAGGCAGCAAGCAACCAAGACTCAGGATCAATACAGAAATCTCTTCACGCTTCAAAGATATTTTTTATAGTCATAATGGTTATGATTACCATATAATATAGTAACTGTTTTCTTATATTTTCATAAAGATACATATCAGAATTGTGAACTCTCCCAAAACTATCTTAGCAGCCACCTGCAAAACATGGCAGTTAAAGAGTAAAAAGGAATTCTTGGAAGAGTCCTGAAGAAGACTGAAGCATAGTCTCCCTTCACATGGAAGTTTAATTTTGTATTCCAGGAAATGGGAGCCTGCAGAAATACCTGGAAGAGACATTAGTCTCCTTTCTGAAGTAAAATGTAGTGTTTCCTTGCTGATTCTGATGTCTCACATGATTTCCCCTTTCTCTCTATTTTTCTGAATCATGCTCTTTGATACTGGAATCACAATATGCTTCTTCCCTTTGCTGTACAAGTCAATTCAGTGCTCTCTTCATCCACTCCCCATTAACCTGCCCTGTTATTCAGCAGGCTGTGTTTTCTCTCTCCCCTGTGTGTTTAACCACACCAATTCCTGTTAAGACTACAATCCACTGATTAAAAGTGAAACTTGAGTGAAAGTTTTTGTTTTATCAGAAACTCCTATCTAACAGATATTTTTTTCTTCCAATGAGTATTTTTGGAAACGAGGAAATTTTTCCGTTACAATGATGTAATTGTTGCTGCAGTCAAAAGGAAATAGAAAACAGGATCCATTTTACTCAAAACTGAAAGATTCATGTAAGTTGGATAGCCACCTACTGGACCATGACAAAGGAAGATAGCTGCCAGTCGGAGCGGTCTGTTTCATTCTTTTTAGAGAAGCCTGACTCCTTTCCATTGACAGTCATATTTACTTGATCTTGAGTTTTGAGAAAAAACAAGCTCCTTTTCTAGTTGTCAAGACTCAGGATGGAATGAAACCTGTTTGTGTTTTTGTACAGTAATAGGAAAAACAGTTTGGCAGGGCATGGTTCAAGTACATAGAGTGATAGCCTGTAGTAGAAGTTCCTAATTCCATCTGTTAGTGTCAAAACCAAAATACAAAAGAGGAACAGAGAAAAGAAGAAGGATATGATTTTCTACTTCAGTCAGTCGTATCCTCTAAAGACACTCTGTGGAAAGAGAACAATGTTCAGGTGTGTCGTTGAACTCCACCCTGTCTGCTCCAGCTCTACCTGTGCACCTGTGAAGCAAATCTTTGGACATTGATCTGGGAAAACAGCAGAACTTTCAGCTATTCATCAGCTTAAAAAGAAACCCTCTTAGAATGCCAAATACAAACAGATATCAAATCTTCCTTGGAAAGATAGACATATCATCTAAACCCAAAGGCAGAAACCACCTGTCTTCTACAGCAGTTGCTCCTACAGATCTTCAACCTGTTCACAGTCCAACAGGGGACAACCTGCTGCTGCTTGGGATCTGATCATCCTTGATAATCTATTCTCCAGGCTTGGTCAGAATTGGAAACAACTGAAGCCTGAAAATGAAGAAAATCCATTTTGTTGTTATTTTAGAGTTGCTTTCTAGAACTATTTCCAAGGAATCATCCATTCTCTGCAGGAAAAAGAATACAGAGACTGTGCCTGGGAGGTTGTCAGGGAGGAAATTGAAGCATCATTTTCCCTCATCAGCAATCCTCAAAGTAAAGTTAGAAGGAGACAATAAAAATATACTCATGGGTCACACTAAGCAATCTCATTGTTGCTCCCTAAGTCCCCACACCAAGAAATCTCAAATATTTTCCCCAGCTGAAAAATATCTGAGAGCAAAATCAGAAGATTGTTTTTAACATATGCTTTACATTATGCATTATGAGGTTACTAAAAGTGTGTAGGAGAACATGATTTATATTCCTAAATAGATAATGTTATAACAACTTATTCACTCATTTAAAATCTTGAGGTTCCAACTTTCAAATTGAATTTTTTTTTTCATTTTTCTTTTATTATTCATATGTGCATACAAGTCTTGGGTTCATTTCTCCCCCCTGCCCCACCCCCTCCCTTACACCCACTCCCCCCCTCCCCTCCCCCCTCAATACCCAGCAGAAACTATTTTGCCCTTATTCTAATTTTGTTGTA